TCTCCTTCCTTTACTTGTTTGAATAATTTTAAATGCACTAGCACCACACTGTACTAGAAATTCACATGGTCCTCCAACCATGGCTTGGAACTTTTAACATTGTTTTCTTTCTCGTAAAGTCCAACTTGCAGGGAACCATATCACAGGTATACCTCCCAGGTCTGTCATCCAAAATTTAGTAAACTGCCCATAGTTATAACTCTGCTATTATCTTCTGTAGGTCCCAGGTATATGGGATATTGTAAACTATTATGTTTCAGATTCACTCTTGCTCCTCTCCAACAGCATTGTATCCTGAGTGGCCTCGGGTTCAGATGATTTCTTATCCTTTTTGGGATTTTTGTTTAGTGTTTTTGCACCATTGTTGATTGGTTCTTGACTTGTTTATCTTGTGTGACACGCGCCTTTTGTTTATCTTTCTTCCAGGAATTTTTGGGTATCACAGTTTGATCAACAGGGGTCATTTCCACATCAGGCAGTATTGGAGGCATTTCATCTACTGGATTTGGTATTTGTAATCCTAAAATTATATTATCTTCATCTTTATCAGGCTCATCTTCAGATGACTCATCTAATCCATCATCTGTCACACTTACATTGTATGTGACGTCACCCATATCACCAAACGTCAAGTAATACTTGGTCACAAAAGTATCCCAAGACCTGGACGACACATAAAGTGCTATAGAAAATATTAGTGAAAGGGTGTAGGTTGTATTTTCGTAGCTTTAGTTTGTGAGGAGAAGTTCGCAGGGTTTGCAGCTTCGCCAAACTTATCTATCAATAGCTGGACTTTATCCATAGACTTTGACGTATTTTTATCAAATAAGTCCTTTAGGAAACTATCCTGTATAAAAGAACTTAGGTGGTGTGTTACATTCTTATAGAACATAGTAATATATTCAGAAACAAATGCTAAAGTTTGTTAGAACTGTATTATACTTTCATCCATATTCATTTTATTTGTTTGTAATAAAATTTAATAAAGGAGATTATTTTTTAAAAAATTTATTATGCAAAAATTTTCGTAAAAATGTTTTTCAGGAAAGAGTTCTTCATCTTCCTATCCAACTGTAGGAGAAACTCATTTTAACTTTTTCAGGAATCCAAGCACATTTAATGAAATATATGAAAAAGGAAACTTTTACTCAACGTGATATGGCATCTTCGATATATAGGAAAATTCAACAATATTGGATGATTATAGACAAATCTTCAATAATTTCTGCAATTGTAGACCCTCGAAATAAACTTATAGTCTTCTTAGAAGAATCAAGGTTGAACGCTCTTAGGCATATCTAAGATATATACAAGATTTACAAAGAGCAATTCATACCTATAAATACAATGCACAATATGCTTCTAATAGCAAACACCAGTATTTTTTACTAAAATGAAGTAGACTGAATTACTTCAACAATAGAATTGGAAGAACTGGATCATTATCTCCAATTACCATTTATTTATTTATTTATTTTATGTGAAGCAGGCAGGGGATATAACAATGGGCATGATTCCGAAGTAATACAACCCAAATAGATCCTACCATCGATTTCCAGAGGAGCCGGAAGCCAACCCTAACTACTTGAAAAAAAAAGACCTGCACCACTACCACGTCTGATAAAGGTCCAGGCAAACACACTGGGTAAAAAAAGGAGGGGAAACAAAAAAGTGGAGAGGACAAGTCCTCTTTCCAAGAAATTGTGGTACAACACATAACTATATTCTATCCTAAAAAATAATACAATTCTGAAATTCGTAAAACCGCTAATAAAAGCATAGGCTAAACTAGTTTCTGTAATAAAGTTAAAATTTCTGCTAAAACTGCCTTGTTATCTTTATTACCACCCTTTTTCTTCGAGGTATTCTTTGCCTTCTTCTGATTCTTCGGGTGTTTCTCCTCCTGGTTATTATTTTTTGGGACTTTCTTAGAGGATGTAGGTTTATCCTTCTTCTTAGGCTGATTACTGTCCAAATTTTTATCAGACTTACCTGATTTTTTCGGATTCGGTGTATTTTTAGCCTTTGGTTTATTTTGTGCTTTCTTCAAGGTAGGAATGGAGTGTTGACACCATTTCAACTCCTTACCATCAGGTACGAAAAACTGTGGCGTATCTAAGGCCCTTAGTGTGGTCTTCCAATTCTCGAAATAGGCCACAAGTTTCCTCCTTCCTTTGCTTGTTTGTATGATTTTAAATGAGCTAGCACCACACTTCATTAAAAATTCACATGGTTTACGGTCCATCCACAAGGTAGCCATTGTCATATCCTCTGGAATGTCATGAATAACGGCTTGGAACTTTTCACGTTATTTTCTTTCTCGTAAAGTCCAACTTGCAGGGAACCATCTAACAGGTATACCTCCCAGGTCTGTCGTCCAATATTTATTAAACTGGGGAAGGGCAAATGAGGAAAGTGCTATTTTGACTCGGAGAGTCTGATACTTATGTTGCCGTTTAACGGAACATTTAATAGCGTTCCCCCAAAATTTTAACTCTGCTATTATTTTCTGCAGGTTCCAGGTATACGGGATATCGTAAACTATTATGTCTCGGATTCGCTCTTGCTCCTCTCCGATAGCTTTATATCCTGTCAGTATCTGTGTAGCCTCCGGTTCAGATGATTTCTTTTCCTTATGGGAATTATTGGCTGATGTTTTCACATCAGGTTTTGCCTTCGTTGATTGGTTCGTAATTTGTTTATCATCTGTAACACGCGCCTTTTGTTTATCTTTCTTCCGGGAGTTTTCGGGTATTACAGTTTGATCAACAGGGGTCATTACTACATCAGGCATTGATAGAAGCTTGATTGGTACTGGATTTGGTGGTTTTTGTAATCCTTTGCGTATAAGATCATCTTCATCAAGCGTTAGCAAAGATGACTCATCCATCAGATAATCATCAGTATTCTGAGATCCATCATCATCGTCATTATCATCATCACCCATATCGCCAAAATTGCAAAAGAATTGGGTTGAAAAATTATCCCAAGACTTGGACGCAGCATATAGCGCTATAGAAAATATTAGCGAAAGGGTGGTGGGTTGTATATTCGTAGCTTGAGCTTGTGTAGTGAAGTTCGCAGGGTTGGCAGAGTCGCCAAACCTTTCTATCAGTATCTGGGCTTTATCCTTAGGTACTGAGGGGTTTTTTTTCAAATAAGTCCTTGAGGAAACCGTCCTGTACAAAAGAACTTAAATTATGTGTAAAAGTTTCAAAATAAATGTCGTTAAACTTAGAAATGAAGTCTAAAGCTGCTTCGTTTGGTGTTCGGCTCTTATCCATAGACATTTTTATATTTTTATGTAATAAAATTTAATAAAGGGGATTATTTTTAATAAAATTATTACGTAGAAATTTTCGTAAAAAATGTATTCGGAAAAAAGTTTATTATCTCCAATTACCAGTTGATGTGGGAACTGACCCTCTTATGTGATGGCAAACGCATTATAACGAATTTCCAGTTTTATGTAATATTTTCTCCCTATTCAAGATACTAGCATTGTATCAGAGCAACAATTACTAAAACCCAAAATCATTTGTTACCAGAGACAGCAAGAGCATGTTTGTGTGTGAAAAGCTGGATGGATAAGAGTTTAATTGAATAATAATTAGTAACTTTTATATTGAATAATGCTTTAAAAAAAACATTATATTAATGAATGTATTCTTGAAAGGTATGATTTAGGTTTTAGTGAGAAAAAGGTTATAAAAAACTTTTTCCTTTTAATTGTTGAAGTACATTTACAATAATTTTATTAATACTGCAATAAACATTTTAATTTTAGCTTCATACATTTTTCTCCAAAAAAAAAATTTGTGTTTATTTAATATTCAATTATTATAAAGTGCACAAAAAAGACTAACCTTAAAAGGTTAAAATTAAGGTTTTGCATACACTAGAAACCAATTACAGCTGATTGCAAAATTGTACAACCACCCTATGATTTTCAATTTGAAAATTTGATATTTTGAATTTTTCAAGAATTAGTAAAAAAGCAAGTTTAAATACCTATTTTGGTAATAACTTTAACTCCTTAAAATTAATAAAGATTTTAAAGCAATTTATTTATATTGAATCATATGATATATTTCTATTTTTATTTAAAGCTATAAACTGCAATATTAATAAACAAAATTGTGGCTTGTCAGATGATCAGATGACATATCATTAATTATTTAAAATTCAAACTGACCTGAAGAACTGAACTGCTCAAAACCGCTTTTTTGAATGAACTGGTTCAAAACTGGTTAAATCACTTTGTGAAACTAGAACTGAACTGATAGAACTGTCCCCATCCTTATGAGTAGTTGAATCAATAATTTCTTTGAGATTGATAAAAAAAGTAAATAACTCTTGACATTCATTACATACTTTAGTGTGTAATTCATCACAAGTTCCAAAAGTATAAAGTAAGCAATGATTAATGCAAGAGTCATGTTTGGTTGTACCATTTTCTGATATTTTAAATTTTTGCTCATATGATCTTTTTAGGTAACATTGTAAATTTTCAATATGTTGAATAAATTTATTCTAAATAAATTATAGTTGCCAAATTATCGCAGGACCCAGAAATATATATAAAAAGGTCAGGTTTGAGTTTGCTTATTTTGAACTAAAAAAAATCATGAAAATCTTTCCTTTTTTAGATAATTTTTGATAATTCCAGTCTGAATTTTATTTCCTATTATAGTAACCGACTGACATTATCATAATTCCGGCCCTGAAAAAATGCGTACAGCTCATAGTAAAAAATTTTTTCATCACCTGACCCCTATATACATATTTCTGGGTCCTATTATCGCCGTTTTCAATAAAATGTGATCAGCTGATCAATATAGTTTCACCAAAAAAAATTTCGATCTTTGTGTAATATTATTTTTTTAACCAATCATGTTTTTTCAATTTTTCTCTGATTTTGTAGTTTATACTGTATATAGAAATTCACGCTCATTACTGCGTCTAATACTACACATTTTTTATATTGCTGACACGTTAAAATGTCACTTAATGAAAATGAAGTATATGAAATACAAGTATATACAAGAAAATATCAAATAGGGACGTGTTTTACCTGTCAAAAGTGTTTATACTGTGAAAAAGACCTTACATTTGAAAATTGTCATTGTAATAAGTATGAAAAACCAACTAAAAATAACCGAACAGCCAAAGTACGTGGCTATAGAGGTTTGTGCTATGACACAAGTAACGCTCAACCATTTTTAAAAGAATTTATGAAGAAAAGTAATCTTAAGTTTGGTTATGAAGTCAACCTGGCAACTTCCTTTTATTGTTCACTTTGTACAGCTTGTAATAGTAAAATAAGCTGAGAAAATAACAAATTTGGAAAGGAAATAAAAAAAGAAAAAGATATCATAAAATCTGAAGTGAATCAAGTAACAGAATTACAGCTTCGTATATCAATTAAAAATGGAAAAGAGATTTTACCATCTATTTTAGTCAACTGGTCTTTTGATGATATAAAATATAATGATCTTTCAACAAAAATTGAACAACTTGTCTCTGAACATATAGGATTAACCTTTAGTAATGAATATTTTTTGGCATATAAGGGTAGTTCAGAAGTTGGAGCAGGAACACTTTTAGATAATGAAATTACTTTTGAAGAATTTCTAAAAGATTATAAACGTTACATCTCTAATAATAAAAAAGTGATGATAATTGTAACTATGAAGGATAAGAAAAAAGATAAGAAAAAACGAGAATATAAAGTAAATTTTGGGTTCAATCTGAATTCTTAGTTGATTATGTGTTGTATTAATTTATAATACTTATTATGTTATAATAAATAGGATGATAATTTGGAATTAGAAGTGACAAGCGAAGAAACAGAAGAAGAAGCACCAAAATCTAAATCAGTTAAAACTAAAAAAAAAGGTACAGCAATGAATAGAGTTCTGAAAGAAAGTAAACTTGATGAAAAGGAGAAAATAATCGGTGAAATTATGATGCAATTAAAAGATAAATATGTTTGTAACCATTATAATCACAAACATTGTTTTGTAAAAGATGGTCGTCATTTATTTTTATCAAATATATCATTTTCGATGTGGGCTCAAGATATTGTAAGTATTTATCAAAATAATTACCATATTATATTATTTATTATAACCTTCTTCATAACAATAGATAATACGCCATTTTAAATCTTCACTCAACATTTTACTGTAATATATTGTAAAATATATAATTAGATACAAATTTTATAATAATAAATTTTATAAAAGACTATTTTGATACCTTTATTATGTAAAAATCTGAGAAAAAAGTAAAGATCACGAAAAATCACTTTTTTTAGATTGTAAAATCGCTAAGATTTCTGACAAATATGCTTACTATATATAGTAAAACTATAGTAGAGGATATGAGTATAGAGAATATTAGTAATATGGTTAGTACGAAAATAAAATTTTCTTCTTAAAAATTTTTGGACTGAAGATCAGTGGAGAGAAATACACTGGTCACTAGTCAAAATTAAGGCAAACGTAGCATAGTAGCCTTTATCTTTATTAAATTTTATTGAAACTAGTCAAAATTAATACCTGATGAGTGTAATAGAAATATAGAAAATCAGTGATATATATTGTAAACACTTATTGGGTACCTGATATGTATAGTATAAATGTAGAAATTCAGACACATATATTATATATATCAGATACATATCGGGTAGTAAAATATCGGTTATATATAGCAAAATCCTAAATATACCTGATATATCATTTTATAAATTTATAATTTTAATTTAGGTCAAATTTATAAATTTTTATAATTTTAATTTAGATTTGTACCTATTTTGGGGCACAGCTAAAGCGGCTGACAGCACATAGTGGGAAAATATTTACCCACAGTGGCCCAGCTGTCACAACAGTGTCACTGTGGCGTGGCAGGCCGGTCCTTCACAGCTGTGTGGCTTGTGCAAGCACTCGCTACACCTACAAAGGATCTCCATGGCTCAACATTATGCCAGCTGGGCACCACGCGTAAATATTTTACCGCACGTGCTACATTGGGGAATCTGGAAAATTTTTTGAGCCACATAGCTTACGCTTTAGCCATGCTCCTATTTTGGTAATAACTTTAACTCCTTAAAATTAATAAAGATTTTAAAGTAATTTATTATATTGAATCATATGATATATTTCTATTTTTATTTAAGAAGTTGAATAAACAGGTTTTTAAATTCAAAATATTAAATTTTCAAATTAAAAAATTATACAATTTTGCAATCAGCTATAAGTTAAATTTATTATGTACATAAAACACAAATAAATCTCCTTTTATATGTTAGTCTGTTATAATGATCAATTATTGATATTTAAAAAAAAGAAATAGAAATATTAGTAGTGTGTATAAAGTATTAGTAAAGGATAATATTGGTATAAATGGTAGTAAAAATGTTAGTAAAAGAAATAAAAAATGGTTAGTAATAGAAAATATTAGTATGAACATAATGTTAATAAAATATTAATTTGTGATCTGCCTGTGAAACATAAAAATTTCAGGTGATAATTGCAATATGAAAATTTGCTTAGCATCTCAATCTCTCATTTTTTAATACTACTATCCCTAAAAAACCACATTTATAAAATGAGCAAGTGTAAAAAATATGATGTTTCATTAATAAAAGTAGAGCTTTTCACCGGATTATCCTATGAATAATTTAGGATAACCATTGGGAAATTTAAAGATCTGGATATCCTGTCAAATTAGGATAACAGGTAATCTGAGTAATCATCCTAGGATAATCGATCCATAAACTCATTATGTCAGAAGCTGTTTCGACTTTCACAACTGGAAATGTGTCACTCACATTAGCAGACGAAATCAAAAAATATAAAACAGATGCTCTTATCAAATTTTTACAGAGAGAGGAGGACTTAGAGCTTGATGACGATAACTTGAAAGTTATTCGTGAAGAAAAAGTTAATGGGCGTGACTTTCTCAAGTTAACCGAAGAAAAACTTGAGTGACATGGAATGAAACTGGGACCTGCATCGAGGCTTGCAGACTTCATTAAGGAGTGTAAGGAGAGAAAGAAGCGCTCGTTTACCTCGTATAAGACTCAGAAAGACTTAAAAGAGGTATTAGCAAAGTATGGGATTGATGGTAATGGGATAGGTGCAATCCATCAATTTCCACCAAGTGAGTCCTATTTTCTCAGTTTATTATTTACAAACTATTACATGAGTTGATGGGCTAATTTTAATGTTCCACTTTCTAGAAACATATACACTTGAAGACAATGATGAAGAATTAAAACAATGTATAAGGGAAATAAAACGCAGGTTGGGAAATATGGGGACTATTCTTGCCGATAGCAATGAAGCCATGCAGTGTGAATATATTTCGTTATTCTTCACACTTCGCTATATATTGTCAAGAGAATAATAAAAAAGGAGATTACTTTGGCTCCCCAGTTAGAAATTGTTGGTGAAGAAAATACTGGTTGAGTCGATTATGCAATCAAGGCTCTTGAGGAACTTATTTGCATCACAGAAGGGAAATTATATCAAGTGGTCATTGGCGAAAGTGTGTTGCAAGTAAATAAAAATAAGAGAAGGCATAAGTTGGGTGATGCATTCAGAGATGACTTCGATTATATCTATGGAATCGTTACAACAGCTATGGATTGGTATTTCATCCTTTATGCTTCAGATGGAATATATTGTACAAGTAAAAATCCTCTTAATATCCGATTTACCGAGTCTGCTTTAATAGAGAATTTGGAGGACAAAAAAGAATTGTGTAAAAATGTAAAGCGAGTAATAGAGGGTTATTGAAGAATAGGTAGATGTTGAGAAGGAGTTAGTAATGAAGAAACAACAAGTTCAAGAGTATTTTGAAAAAAAATAATCATGCTTATTAGATAGAAATTTCATGTATACGGGTTGCTGTAATTTATTTTTGAGGTGCTTTATTAATAATTTATCATTGTAATAAACACAGGTCAAATGATGGTATATCAGGTCATATGCTATCATAACATATCGGTCAGATATCATAAACCCGATATAGATGTGATAGGTAATATTAAAAATCATATATATATCAATATTTGATATGGCAATGATTTTTTACTAATAATAAAACTGTTTTTTGAAAAAATATTATTAAATATTAGAGTATAATAATATTACGCTGATATTTTATTATTAATAAACTTATTTTTCGAAAACATATTGTTAAAATATCGGAGATGCATATCAGTCTTTCGATATGTCATATGATAATCATCTGATATTTTATAATTAGTACGGATCGATGGATCGTAGGGGAGGAAAAAAATTTTTTTTTCTTTTGCAACTTTTGTAGAAACACCGACTCCCAAGGTAAAATGGGAATTTAGGAAATTTTTTTTAATTAAGAGATTATAAAAACATTTCTTTTTCTATTTTTATAGAGACGCCGTTAGACTTGGACATTCTTTCAGCCTTCCTGGATGTGACATTTGGTTAGTCATTTTTTTTCTTTACTTGTTTTATTTAACGAATAATTTTTTATTTCTTAATTATTTATCTTAATGAAATGTTTTCTAATGCTTCAAATTTTATTCCTTTTGAGAAATTTAGTATGGAGTTTTTTTGAATATTTCTTTGATGAAACGTTTTTATCTTTTTTAGACGATTTCTTCAGATAAGAGTGGAAGTATTTATAAACTTTCTTTTCAACGAAACGTTTATTAACGTTTCCATTTATCTTTTTTAGATGGACTTCTGGACGCATGGGATTTCTTCAATTTCTCTTTTTTTTAGGTAACCGGAATGAAGGTGCATGTGATCACATATCCTCCTCATCATGATCCAAATCTTCAGCAACTATTTGAGTATTTTGGTCATCAATGGAACCATCGACAGATAAGGATTGAAGAAATTCATTATCGATTATAATTATCATATCTTTGTAATAACGATTATTTTCTTTCAACCAACACAATGCATGAGCGACCTTAGCACGATGAACTTTTAAAATCTCTAAGTCCTGCCAGGTTATTTGCCGATGGGCGACATACAATAGGTACTTCTAATGACAATAGATTTCGAGGAAAGTGAATGGCGAATTCTTGCACATTTTTGGTGTAGTTTATTACGGCACATCACCTGGATCCATATCGTTTTCTCATGAAAACTTATTTTGTTTCTTTTCTTTGCGGCAGCGTTAACATTTCCTTGTATAAGTACAATAGATGAAAAACATTCTTTGTATCACAAGACAAAAAGAGAGAACAGAAGCGGAGATGCCACATTGATTTGATCTTGTTGCGACTCCAGCGCTTGAAACTGCTGCCGTTTAATGGTTCGAATATAACGATTGTTTTCTAAACGCCTTTCACATTGTTGGTTGATTTCTGATGCTAACTTTAGACATTTTCGTTCACATTCACATGCGTGACACACGTCTCAGTTTCTGCCGTTTTTTTCAACGATTTTTCTCACATTGCTTACAATGCATTCCTGACAATGTTCAGAAGTTTCATTTTCTCTTGGTTTTCGCTTTCGAATAGTACTGTGGTTAAAAATTTTGTTTTCCATCTTTATGATAGACGTACTAATGAAGATTCGTTGGCATCTTCGCTATTGTGGCTTTCTAGCTATAGATGTGTCTTGTCTTTCTACATGGAATAATTTTTATAATATCAGATATGTCGATACAAAGAAATGCTTTATTATAATATAAAACTAAGACTTTACTATTACAATAAAAACTTTATTATTATACAATCATTATCATTGTATTCACTGAATAAACTTTTTATAATAAATAAAATTCTTAACAACAGTTTACCGTTTCCTAATATTAGAAGTATCAGCAATCTCAGTATTCCAATAAATTTTATTATTAACTTATTAACAAAGCCATTATACATCGTATATAATATTTACAAACATTGGATAATAATAATAAAGCAGTTTATTATTCTATTATATATGTATTTTTCTGTTTATAGGGATAACTGACAAATAACTTTTAGGATTTTTTTTACCAATTGTCATTTTTCCCACAACAAATCGTCCTAAAATATTGTGTATAGGTATGATACAATCTTGACTTAATTCATAAAACTCATTCTCCCACAGTTCAATATTACAAATATTCAAATCATCATTGTCAATTTGACAATGAAATCGATATTTACGATTTTCTGTTTTCTTGTACCATCTTACAAAAGCTAAACAGTGAGTTTTAGAACCTTCCGGTAGGTGAATTGTATGCTCGAAAAAAAACTGAACCTGACCAGGATAGATATCGGTTGTATGATTATCATCTAAAATAAATTGAGATAGTACATTCACCGATCTTATATGTCTTGCTGAAAATGTTGAGCCAATCACCTCTACTCCGATTCTTAATCTACCGAACTTAGTGACTTTTGGTAAAACTCCTATTGCTTCTGGTAATGTGTTATGAATATCTGATAAGCTTATGAAAAAGTAATTATCATATGCACTATTGTAATACTCTATCAGTAATTTTAATATATCTTGTGGAAGATTTGCTTCTTTTTTCGGCTTGAGCAATGCTCCTGGAAAAGGTTCTGACCCTATTCCTGCTTTCTCTTTAACATTCTTTGACATTGATAAAAATTCAAAATATTCCAACAAGTCAAAATCATCATGAGCAAGACTACCGACCTTTTCTTTATGAGTGATGTAAGGCAAACATTCTGAAAGATGTTGGTTTTCATTGGCTGGCTATATGTTTTGATTACTGCTTTGTAATGAGCCTGTAAAAAAAATCTGGTTAAATATCAGAATATTTATTATAAGTATATCAAAGTAATTACCTAGCAATCCATTCATTCTTTCAAAACTATAGCACCAAAATGCATAAAGTGGACCATAGTCCAATGCACATTCACATATATGTAAACATAAATGCATGTTTGGCGTTATCTTTCCTGGTCCATAACTATTTTCAACTAATTTTACCATAGATAAAAGACATTTATGCGCCTCTTCTAACCCAGATTTTGAAATAATGCGACATGTAAGAATATTGCATGCTCGTACAAAGTAACTTAATATTTTTCTATCATCATTTTTAAGTAGATCCCAAGTAATAGAAGTAGCATATATAAGGATAAAATTTTTCCATTGGTCAGCTGTAAACCCTGAGAAACCTTCACCCATCATTATTTTACTTGGGATTCTACCAATATCTGATAGTAACTTCATCCTATTGGCTCGTTCCTGCATGGTAGTCAAGTTTTCTGATGTTAGTCGTCTCTCCTCAATCCATAATCGGGTGACGATCCATTTAGCAATGCCCAAAAATAAGCAATGCATAGGATCAACAATAAGGAATTGAACAGGGTCAAAATATGGAAGCCGGTACATCTCTGACCATCGCACTAATGTCTCAGACACATGTTTCTTTCGTGCATCTTCAGTTTTACATTTTTTCCATAAAACTGTACTATTTCTCATTTTTTCAACATTTCTTGACACAAACCATTGTTCCATATTGTTAAAACCTCCGAAATTTGGCTGGTTTACAATGGTAAAATCAGCCAATTTTTGACATCTGTAGCAAGCTACACGTGCAGATATATGGCCACAAAGTTTTCTTGCAGCTGGTATATCACATGCACAGCATATAATTGCAGCTCGTATATGTTTGCCAGCTGGATTTTCATACGTACTAGACAGATTAATTCCTTCTTATAACTCAATAAATTGGTCAATTACTGGAGCCAAATAATGATTCAATTAATGCAATTTTGGCTCATTAGGTTCAGGAATTACTGCCAAAGTAATTATATTAGAAACCTTAAACCTTTCACTCCGCGGAAGGTTGCATATGACCCCATATATTACTCCAACACTATATTGAGAATTGTCAAAGGGTTGGAACCAATCAAGGTTCATCATGATTCCCAAATGACTGTCTGCTACCTCATGTCAAAAAAATAATTGGCTATTATTTGGATCTTCAAAAGTTTTCCAAATTCTTCCATCAAAGATATCTGCCAATTCTTTTTCATTGTTAGGTCGATTGGTCCACTTCCTGCACGACTCCTCAAATCCTTTTGTATTGTATAATTGTTGCAATCTTCGTTTAATACTAATAATGGGAAAAATAAGTGATGGTTTAAACATCATTCCTTGATTGTGGGAATTTGCTTTGTAATAATATTATTACAATAAGATCTTAAATTACTTATTGGGTGGTTTGGGTAATCTTGAAATGTGCAATGATAAGGTTGATCGGTCGGCAAATCTTTTACTGCATATAATTTGCAACATTTTTTACGAGTTGCAAATTTAATTAATTGATTGCCAATGCCGAATAATTTACGTGCCATATACAAAGTTTTCGGAAACTTTGAATAGGTATTTTCATCAACCAAGACCAGTATATATCTAACAAATTTTAAAAGGGAATCAATAGCTGTATCAGGTAGACGGTATCTTTCTTGATACTTAAAAATCCAATATACAATCCATGTAAATCCTGCATTAATATCTGGAATGGGTAATTCAGCACCTTCAATTCCACCATCATATTCTGGAGTATCAAAATTAACATGTTGCCCCAACAAGTCATCATCATCATCTTCATCTTCATTAAAATATACATCTTCATCTTCGTTGGTGGCTTGTTCTTCTTCACTATTATACAAGAGCTGTTCAGTTACAACTAATGGAAAACTAACATGACTACTTGCTTGTTTTTGTTTAGGGTTTCTTGGATTTTTAACAAGAAAGCTAAACACTTGTTTATTATTAAAATCGGTATCACTATCAACATCATTAATATTTATTTCGTCTAGTTCTATAGGATCATATGGAGCATTTATTTGGCTTATTCCCCCTTCCGTTGCCATATTAGAAGATTCACTTCTTATTGGTAGTTCTCTTTCTCTCATATGCGACTCTCTTGTACGTGGATCAACTTTACGACCTTTACATTTATTACAGTTGCATGCCACAAATTGTCTTGAACGTGATTTAAAAGTACCTAAAATCGGTTTACGCTGTTTTTTCGAAGGTTTGTCTGTGTCATCTGTGTCATTACAAAAGTTTTTTTTGATTTGCGAACCATTGTAATTAAAGTTTTAGCGAGAATTTAATAAATACAAGAGATATATTTATATATAAAATATGTCAATTATCAGTAATAAATTTATAATACTTTTGCTTGCACTTTTAAATATAAAATATTTATATTACATAATAATAAAAGTAAAATGTATAATCAAATTTAAATGGGATTATACATCAACATCAGTTGATCAAATATTCGTTGCTGTGCAATAATAAGAAAAGTATAAAAAAGTTTATTTCGATAAAGTATATAAAGAATCAATTGACCTAAATTTGATTCTTCAACTTTTCTTTTTTAAAAAAGAAAAAAAAAAAAATTTCACATAATCAAAAATTCTATCTATTTCAAAAAAATATTTATGCGTCGACATAGTGTTTGGAATCATGTAACAGTTATTCGAATAACTCGAGTATATTCGAGTATTTGAATAAGCATAGTGGTTATTCAAGTATTCATTTAGCCAGATATAGTATAGTTAAAATTCTAATTGGGCATTAAATCCTTAAATTTAACTGAGTTAAAATCATAATTCAGGCTAAAAATTATGTAAATCATTACTATAAAAGGAAATTTAACTTATTCGAATATTATTCGAATACACTTTATAAATTTAAATGAATACTCGAGTATATTCGAATATATTCGATTCCAAACACTACGTCGACATAATTACTTTAAATTAATCACAAACCTGAAGAGACGATTGATGTCTCGTTTTAGTCTGGATGATCATAACGCACGATCAAAATCTTGACGCACTTCCAGTCCAGACGACCGCGGAAGAAGTAGAAGTAGTGAATGCAGCAGAAGTCGAAAAAATGATAACCGTGGAAGAAGTATAAGAAGAGACCGCAGTAGAAGTCGAAGAAATGACAACCGGAGAAGAAGTATGAGAAGAGACCGCAGCAGAAGTAACAACCGCAGCAGTAGAAGTAGAAGTGATGGCTGCAGCAAACGTGGAAGAAGCGATAGTGTTGATAAAAATGGTATAATGTATTAAGTTTAATTAGAATATGGGATTATTCTTACTAATTTTATTTGTATATAATCATATACGATAGAAATTGCAAAAATTTATTCGACTCTTGATTATCTTGTTAGTGAAATTAGTAGTTTAGCAATCCTCACAATCCACACAATCGGCGGTACTATCTCAATCTCTCGCCGGTAGAGATCGAACTATTTCAGTTTCACTTGAACCACTTGGTGGTTACAAACAAAGATCCCGTAAACCACTAGAAAAAATGACCAAAAGGCAATTCAAGAGTTTTAGGGTATAGGTATCGTGACCTTTTCCAAATTCGGATTTCATAACTAATCACTAATCTATTTATTTTTTATTTTGTAAATTTAGGATGAAATAGTGCAAATTCTCTCCTGCCTTGACCCTTCACTATCATATAATATAATATATATTTACATTTTTCACATTAAAAAAAATTTAATAAAATATGTAAACAAAGTTATAAATAGTTTTGTGTAAAAAAAATTTACTATTTTTAATACAAAGAATAAGTTAATTGTATATGTAATACAGGAAACATTTTTAGACGTGATTGTGTAATGTGTTTTTGATAAAACAAATACGCATCCGCGTAACATTAAAATTATAAAATTTAGATAAAAAATTGCGATTATTCTCACCCAAAGAGCTTTGCATATGACGATCCAGATTTTGACAAATATGAAATATACAATGGATGTGTTTTATATGAGATAAAAGTGTTTTTAACGCTGCATCTAGGCCTGTATCTGCATCACTAATAATAATAGTTGGCGTGATTCCATTGTTTGCTTCTAAAAGTTGTTCTAAAACCCATGTATAAGACGCTGATGTTTCATCAGATAATAATGCTTATGCAAAAATACAGGTATTGTTTCGATTATCAACACCAACAAAGATGCAAAGAGCCATGTGGTACTTATTTGTTCTTGAAGTGTTATCTGTTACAATAACATCATGATAATACTGATATAAATCCTGTTGATTCAAATCCATCCAAAAAATATGAAATAACCTCCCTTGATGGATTTTTTTAGCAATAAACATCCCAGGATCTTCTTTTTGCTGATTTTCAAGCATTTCAATAGCCAAAACGCATCATTGTCTGGATCATTAACTTCACTATGAGAATTATCCTGTTTAAAGTATTGAATCGCATTTATTACATCTCTTTCTAGAAATGTTTGCTGTGGAAACTCAGCAATTTTATTCGATTCATCACTGACTCAGGTAAACTACGATATGATGGTGCGAATATTGCTGTTAAAGTGTTAAGATTATGGTTTTTATGCCCTGGTTCAAAAGTAGTTACTCTTGGAATTGAGTCAGTTTTTGGCCAACAAATATTTATATAACACGTACACTCAATGTGAGATGATGTTGTATTTCATGTTATATCTGGATTATTTCCTTTACGCGATCTTGGCTTACCAGCATGATGACATTCAAATACCTTTTTACTAACGCTTCCATCAACTCTATGATAAGTATTTTGCAATCTCCAGGAAAAACCTTTTGTTTTGGCATATGTATGTAGAACTTGGTCTACATGCTCCCAATTCTCAAATTTATAGCCAACCTTTAACTCAAGTGCTTGCTCCTTTAGATTGTCACTAGTCTGAAGCTCTTGAAGAACTCTCAAACGGTTTTTTCTTGAGACTATAGATTTTGGTAAAGTGTTTTCCTTATTTAAATTGATGTTATCCATATTTGTTTTAAATGTTACATTGGCAAATGTATCGTTCTTGACGCATTACGTTAATTTATTTATTTATTTATTTATTTTATGTGAAGCAGGCAGGGGATACAAAGAGGGCATGATTCCGAAGTAATACAACCCAACATAATCCTACCATCAGATTCCAGAGGAGCTCCTAACTTCTTAAAAAGAAAAGACCTGAACTACTACCCCGTCCGATAAAGGTCCAGACAAACGCACTGGGAAAAATAAACAAAAATGGAGAGGACAAGTTCCCTTTTCAAGAAATTGTGGCATCTTCTGAGTATTCGGGTATTTCTCCTCCTGGTTATTATTTTTAGAGACTTGTTTCGAGGATGCAGGTTTATCATTCTTCTTAGGCTGATTACGATTCAGACTTACCTGACTTTTTCGTATTCAGAGTATTTTTAGCCTTCGGTTTACTTTGTGCTTTCTTCAAGGAAGGGATGGAGTGTCAACACCATTTCAACTCCTTACCATCAGGTACGAAAAACTGTGGCGTATCTAAGGCCCTTAGTGTGGTCTCCCAATTCTCGAAATAGGCCACAAGTTTCCTCCTTCCTTTACTTGTTTGAATTATTTTAAATGAGCTAGTACCGCACTTCATTAAAAATTCACATGGTTTACGGTCCATCCACAAGGTAGCCATCATCATATCCTCTGGAATGTCATGAATGACGGCTTGGAACTTTTCACGTTGTTTTTTTTCTCGTAAAGTCCAACTTGCAGGGAACTATCTACCGGGTATACCTCCCAGGTCTGTCATCCAATATTTATTAAACTGGGGAAGGGCAAAGGAGGATAGTGCTATCTTGACTCTAAGAGTCTGATACTTGTGCTGTCGTTTGACAGAACACTTGATAGTATTCCCCCAAAGTTTTAACTCTACTATAATTTTCTGCAGGTCTCAGGTATTCTTTCCCTTATGGGAATTTTTGGCTGATGTTTTTACATCAGGTTTTGCCTTCGTTGATTAGTTCGTGATTTGTTTATCAGCTGTAACACACGCCTTTTATTTATCTTTCTTCTGGGAGTTTTCGGGTATTACAGTTTGAACAACAGGGTCATTACTAAATCAGGCATTGATGGAAGCTTGATTGGTACTGGATTTGGTGGTTTTTGTAATCCTTTGCGTATAAGATCATCTTCATCAAGCGTTAGCAAAGATGACTCATCCATCAGATAATCATCAGTATTCTGAGATCCATCATCATCGTCATTATCATCATCACCCATATCGCCAAAATTGCAAAAGAATTGGGTTGAAAAATTATCCCAAGACTTGGACGCAGCATATAGCGCTATAGAAAATATTAGCGAAAGGGTGGTGGGTTGTATATTCGTAGCCTGGGCTTGTGAAGTGAAGTTCGCAGGGTTGGCTGTTTCGCCAAACTTCTGTATCAGTAACTGAGCTTTATCCTTAGTCACTGAGGGGTTTTTTTCAAATAAGTCCTTGAGGAAACCGTCCTGTACAAAAGAACTTAAGTGGTGTGTCAAAGTTTGAAAATAAATTTCGTTAAACTTGGAAACGAAGTCTAAAGCTGCTTCGTTTGGTGTTCGGCTCTTATCCATAGACATTTTTATATTTATGTAATAAATTTAATAAAGGGGATTATTTTTTAAAAAAAAATTATTACGCAGAAATTTTCGTAAAAAATGTATTCGGGAAAGAGTTTTTTTGGACTATCGACGCATTACGTTAATATTTAAAATATTTACACATGTTATATAACGTTATAGTATCACGTGCAGTAGGAGTGGTAAAAATCATGTTACCACCCCGGGTGGCAAGAGGACTTTTTCATAAATATATATATGTTATAAAATAAATTGCTTAGCAGTGTAAAAAATTTATGGGTTAGATAAAAGTTTGCTTAGCAGACATGAAAAATATTTGCTTATTGACCTTGAATTTTTTATCTGACCTATATATATATTGTTCGGGGTCTCTTAGATTACCATCAAGTTTTGAGCTCAGAAGAAAAAAAGACCATTCCAGTAATGCAAAGTTAAAGAAGAAGGAAAATAATTCCTCATCCAAAGCTCCTAATACAAGTAATAAGTTGAAGAAACCCCTGGGCCAGAAAAATGAAAGCATCTGAGAAATTGGATAATTCAAACAAGAAGGCGAAGGGTGGTAATAGTTCGAACAAGAAGATTTTAGTAAAAATTTTAGAATTATTACAGAAATTAGTATAGTCTTAATAGAATTTAGTTATTTCTGCTAATTTGTACTTGTTTTTAGCATAGCCGAATCTTTTTATGTTTAGTATCACAATTTCTTGGAAAGGGGACTTGTCCTCTCCATTTTGTTTTTTTTTTTACCCAGTGTGATTACCTAGCTACTAGTGGGCGTGCTTGTAGATAGGTCCTTTTTTTTCAAGAAGTTAGGGTCAGGCACCAGCTTCTCTGGTTTTCGATGATAGGTTTTTTTTAAGACGCATTCTTCTTATATATATTAACTACCTGCTTCACATAAAATAAATAAATAAATACCTAATACAAGTAATAAGTTGAAAAAACCCTTGGGTCAGAAAATGAAAGCATCTGAGAAATTGGACAATTTGAACAAGAAGGTGAATGGTGGTAATAGTTCGAACAAGGAGGTTTTAGCAAAAATTTTAGAATTATTACAAAAATTAGTTTAGTCTTAATAGAATTTAGTTATTTCTACTAATTTGTACTTGATATTAGCATAGCCGAATCAATTTATGTTTAGTACCACAATTTCTTGAAAAGGGAACTTGTCCTCTCCACTTTTGTTTTTTTACTCAGTGTGTTTACCTAGCTACTTGTGGGCGTGCTTGTAGATAGGTCTTTTTTTTCAAGAAGTTAAGGTCGGGTGCCAGCTTCTCTGGTTTTTGGTGGCAGGTCTTTCTTTTAGGGTGAACTCAGCACTTTTGGTGTTGATATATGCTCTTATATGTATTCCCCTCCTGCTTTGCATAAAATAAAATATATATATAGGGGCTGGTTAAGTTTGGTTCAGATGCATTATATAGTGTTTATTATAAAAGTTCATTATATCCAGTGAAATTATTTATAAAAAATTGGTTCTGGAAATTATGATTCAGTATAGTGAGGTTTTGGTACAAACAGGTTCGTTATAACCAGAGTCGACTAAGGTTGCCTGCCTAAACCTCTCCAAAATTCTATGATTAGTTTCTCCAAAATTTTACTATAGTTTTATTATAGTTTTGGCAAGGTTTTGGCAGTTTCAGCATTTATAATAAGTTTCGACAGGTTTCGCTTTTCTCCAGAGTTTTGCCAACTTTTTAATAAGACTTTCATATAGTTTTGGCAAAGTTTTGCTATTTTGGCATTTCGCCAACTTGCCAAAACTCCCTAGTTTCTCCAGCAACCTTAGAGTTGACTGTAAATTTTGGTCTTGTTTTAACGAATCCCTAAAAAGAAACAAAAAGGACCTAATAGAAAAAGAAGAATTTTGTCAATAATTGCAGATAATTTTCATATGAAGAAATAAGCATAAACTTAGCAGTCAGTTATTTTCAATTCAGAGGCCATGGCAACCATAATCCTAACAGTAGGAAAGCTAACCACCAAGATAGAAAAAATAATAATGCTAACAACTGAACTCTGATAACTCAACGTTGCCAACTCAGCAGATGTCTTTCCGAATAATTCTGCTGCGTCTTCTATGTCCAGTTACATCATGACTTTAGCCAATGTTAAAACAAAGATAAACAGCCCCATACTGCTCAGGACAGAGACACTGGTACTCATGCTGAATTCCCGACCCTCACCAACTCTGAAGTAATGAAGATCTCTGAGCTATTCAGATTACTGATGTTCCATTCTTCATTAACAAAAACAACCTCCTTACCTACTTTAAGAAATTTGGTAATATCACCTCCTATTTATTATTCTCTAGGAAAAACGCTAAGGTCCAACAAGCTCACATTGTCTATAATAATGCTGACTCAAGATATTGATCTGGCTCCTTTAAACCCATGATCTTCAAGCTAAAGCTGTAAATGTTTCTTTCCCTTAATTCCTACAAACCTAAGAAATGGGCTTATGTTACGTTTAACTCTCAGAAAGCCATAGATTCTGCCTTGGTTGTGTTTCAACTTTTGCCCCTTAAAACAATCCAGGGTCATTCTTAATTCTTATACTTGGGATCCTGTAGCTAAACTTAAGGAGTGTTTTAACATTAATCAACCTTTCCACTCTTGTCAAGCTGCTGGCCAATGTTCTCATTTTAGATCTAAATCTCATGATCGTTCTGCTTCTGCTTCCCACCATGCTAATGCTGGCAATCAAAACCTCTTTTCACCTGATAATACTAATAATGGTCATACCCAGTCCCGAAATAACCATGGCAAAGATTGCTCTATCTCATTTTCCTCCTCTTCTCAATCATTGAAACATCAAGCCTTTCCACAAACTCCTAATTCTGCTTTATTTAAAGATGATGCAAATAATATTCTAACTCTACTCTGCGAATTGCAATATGAAGTTGCTAATGTTTGAATTAGCTAATCAAAGGATGTCTCATATTGAATTGCATCTTGCTTTTTTTAATGATTCTGGCCCTACACCCATGCAAGAGGATCCTTCTGTAACTCATGTTCTGGTCAATTTACATTTCTCTGATCCCCCTTCTCGTCTGACTATGACTACCTTAAAAATCTCTCAGCTACCTGTTACTTCCCTAACTCTCTTCAACCAGTCCAACATCTACTGTATTGACCAGGACGAAGTTATTTCACCCTCTTTTATGGGTCATTTATATTAATCCATTGCTTACTGTCTTGAAGAATAGTATGATGGACCCTTATGTTCTATCTTCTCCCTTATTGACAACAACTCATGATCCCATTGATACGGCTGATTTGCGTATTAACAACTTGGTTTTTATGGATGACTCTACTCTTATTTCCTTGTCCAAAGCTAGCATGGAGTTGATATTATTCATCACTGAAGAATTTTATTTTATTAACAATACTTCAGCTAATCACAGAAAATATGTGCTAACTACTAATTCACTACCCTTAACTTCTGCCTAGTCTCCATCTCTAATTATTTTTGACTTGGCCTTGTCAGTTGTCACCTTTGAACAAGATTTTTTCTATATCCATTACACCAATACCTATGACCACTTCTTTTCATTTTTTAGGTGTTTGGTTTAACATTAATGGCTCATGCGATTTTGTTAGAAAACAAATGTAACTCTTTCGCTGCCACTAAACTCTCTGCTAAACAAATTGTTTATTTCCACAATACAGTTCTTATCCCAAAGCTCAAATACCATATGCAAGTCACTCACCTCTCAGAATCTGAATGTTCTTTGGCTACCATTCTCTTCCTAATACAATTTTATTTTATCTCAAGCTTTGGGTTAAATTAATTTGTTTGCTCATTAACAACAATGTCATTTAACTTATTTATTTTTATTAAGCTAATTCTTCTTTTTTTATTCAATCTATTATTTATTTATAGATTAAAATTAATTCAATATAGGTTTTTGATTCCTATTTCACCTTTATTAGTTAATGATTGATCTATATGGTCATCCTTTATTTCATTTAAGAAAGATTATATCACTTGCACAATTGCTCATTTATTTCTCACAGCTTCCTGATCTCTTGCCATACTCCTTTGTATAAATGTATGACTCTTAAGGTTTTTGCAAGAAACAACTTTTCTATCTCTCTCAATTTATCACTCCACAAGGCACCCATCTTTTATCTTGGGCTTCATATCTTATCAATTTAACTGATAAGCGTGGTTATGTTCTTTTCATAAGTGGTATTTGGATATTCAGAAACAAACCACAAACCACAATCCCTAATTCTAACAACCAGTTGATCGATAAATATCTGC